CGCGAAATTCCAAAAACAAACAAACAAAATTCTAAAATAAACAAACTTAAGAGCGTAACACATGCCATCCTTGTGTTACAGCGCTACATGTAACAAGTTAGTCAAAGTTACGAAGAAGCTAGCGAACACTGAAAGAACAAGAGCACAAAGTTTTTGTGTTTTGTGTCGAGAAACATAGCTGTAGATTACCCCAAAATCTTTAACTTTCGTTGCAGCCATATGAAAGGATGAACTTGTGTGATGCGTTAATGCCCAAAACCTACCCAGATGGAGAGATGATTATCAAGCAAGTAAGTAAAATCAAATTATTCGTTTTGTATTTCAATCAGTGATTCTAATTTTCCTACTTGCACATTTATATTCATGCTAGTTATAAGGCTAAGCGATGATAAAATTCCAAGTGTTAAAATCTAATAGAGAACTAAGTCGAAAATATGAAAATAATCAATAATGTTTAATGGTCTCCTTAAAGAAATAATTCCCAAAATGATTTTAAATTTTAATGTGTTAAAGGCATCATTTTCAGTCGTCTAGTGGTTAAGGCGCTCAACTCACGATCTGCAAGTCACAGGATCGAAACCTGGCGCCGACAATGCTCGACCTTTCATCTACGGGTAATTATAACGTAATGGTGAATCCCATTATTCGATGGTGAAAGAATGGCCCAAGAGTTAGCGGTAGGTGCTTCCAGCCACATGCCTTTCGGAACGGAAGCAGATAGCTTTAGTAACTTTTCTATAAACATCAGAAATAAACTAGAAAAGCACACAGTGGAGCGCATACCTCCACCACGCAGCGTTGATCATATTCAGCCCTCACAACATACGAAAATGTTTCTGTATGTTTGTCGTTATCAACGCACACGGATCATTTTTGGAACTACAATGATGACTATTATTCTACATAAGTCCACCAAGTTTCATCAAAATCCAATTGTGTTTGACTGAGTTATAAAACAAAAATAATGTGAAAATCGAACCCATGTTAACAGATAGGTTTTTTTTAATGTTTGTGACTTTGACCATCCAAAACGAATCACTTCTAAGTTGAATCGTAGTCCAAACGTATACCAAGTTTTGTCCAACTCCATTCAGCCGTTGTCAAGAAATCTTGCTGACAAACACACAAAAACACACACACACATACACAGGGGGTGAAAACATAACCTCTGTCCATCTTTGGTGGCGGAGGTAATAAACGCTTTAGAACAGTGGTTCTTAACCTTTAATGCTCCATGCCCCACCTCGACACCTCAAAAAATTTGATGCTCCCTTAATATAAAAACAAATTTGGTGTTGAAAAGGTATAATAATTTAATGTAAAATTTAGAAATAGGAGTTTAATTAATGATACCTCTTTAAATTTACAATATTAGGTAAAAATAGAACAAATTCAAATTTTCTTCACCTTCAAGTTTGGTAATCTCAAGTTAGTGAGATCCTTGAATGACAAATTCAAAAACCGTGTCAGACGACTCAGTTTTGAGTCACGGGACGTTTCTCGCTCTTCACATCCAAATGAAAAAAAAAAAATCTTATTGTAGCATTTTCAAATTGCACCCTTGTGGGGCGTGAGCCCCGCGTTCAAAATCACTGCTTCAGAAGATCAACTATTTTGAAACAGAAATAATTATACAATTGGTTAATAGATGGCACCACCAAACAGTAACCACCACTCCATAATTATATTTTACCATAGTTTTCATTATGAAATTCCTTTTTTTTGATTCAATCATAAAAATGGAGGAACTTCTAAAAAATAATTGTATTTTATAAAGAAGTTTAAATGAACGAAGTCAGTCAGCATTTGACAATAACTATATATATATCTAGTATTAAATAAATTTAGTCACAGATACTAAAAAAAGTGTTCTTCCCTGAAAAATATATTAAATCTATCTAAAAAAATTGAGACATACTTAGATTTGAATCCACTTTCCTAGTTGTCAAGTAAGTGCTTTAATTTTGTAAATCTCGAATTCCGTAACCTTTTACTAATCTTAGTTATTTTTTCTGGATTTAAAAATGTTGTTGATTACGTTGATCGTTAGATACATTTGAAAAGGTAATAAATGATTGTGTATATCCAAATAGAAATGACGTATATCTAAATAGAAATGACGTATGTCTAAACAGAAATGACGTATGTCTAAATACAAATGACGTATGTCTAAATAGAAATGACGTATATCCAAATAGAAATGATGTATATCCAAATAGAAATGATGTGTATCTAAATAGAAATGACGTATATCTAAATAGAAATGATGTATATCGAAATAGAAATGATGTATATCG